GTGAAGATTTGTCACAACAATCTCAAGTTGATTATGCTGACCTGGAAAGCTATTATCAAGCAGCTGCAGGTAAATTTGAGCAAATCAAATGCCAAATAGCAACATATGTGGCTGAACTTGCCAACACCAATTTATCAGAAACAGAAATAGACGACATTATGGTTGATCTAGCGAATTATGAAGATCACACTCAGGCCACGTTACAACCTTATGTCAAATTAATTGCCCAGAACAAGGCAACAGCAACAACAACAACAGTTGCATCTAATACGAGTCAAGCAGAAGCTCGACTCCCTCCAATTAATTTACCCACTTTCTCAGGAAAAGATGAGGAAGATTGGGACGAATTTTGGAACAAATTCGTTGACCTTGTAGACTTAAAACAATCTTTACCAAAAAGTAGTAAATTCTCTTATTTGCAAGGCCAATTATCAGGTGAGGCTAAAACAGTAGTATCCCATCTGAGATTAACTAATGACGGCTATGATCTGGCAGTACAACTCCTCAAGGATAATTATGCTGATCCAGAAGTAAGAACATCACATTTAGTTCATGAGCTGTTGCATTTACCCCCACCGGAGGCTTCAGCTGATTCACTCCAAGTCTTCAAGCTGGAGGTAGAATCATTGATCAATGCCCTCAGCCTGACAGCAGATACAAACGGGGCTGAGTGGGTCTTGAAATTAATTGTCCAGGAGAAAATACCTAGGGACATATTGAGACAAATGAGTGCTCATTACAATAAAAGCATCTTATCTATGAATGAAATATCTGAAGGTTTAAAGTCAGTAGTTCATCAATTACGAACACATGACAAATTAAAACCACCAAGTAAACCCTCAGATACCAATAATAGTAAACCACAGAGTACCAAAGGTACTCCAAATCAATCTAGACAATATAATTCAACACCAAAGTGGAACAGTAGCAGTGTGGGCGTATATGCAGTGGGACCCTCCAAGCCTATAGTTACTGTGTCACCCAAGAACGTGACACCAAAGGGTACAGGAAGCTATGGAACATGTTTGTTCTGCAATGAGAAACATTCAATGTACCACTGCCCTAATTTTCCTGATAGCGACGCCCGTGTTGAGCGACTCAAAGATTTGCAACATTGCACGAGGTGCCTCAGGAAACATAACATCAAGGATTGTGATACCCAATTACACCCTTGTAATAGGTGTAACAAAGGTCAGCACCATGCAGCATTGTGCAGAGACACCAAAACAACGTCTCCAAACCCCAAGGTGGAAAATAGCATTCCCACCACAGTACAGTACTGCAAGGTGCAACAAACAAAGAGTGTCCAATCAGCAAAGTCTAAAGGTAATACGACTTTGCCTACTGCCCAAATTACCATCCTGAATAAGAGGGCCAAGGTCCATACCCGTGGGTTGTTTGACCAAGAATCCCAGAGAACATATATCACTAAAAAGCTGGCAGATGAATTACAATTAAGGCCTGTAGCCCAGATGTCATTCAATATCTCAGGGTTTGTAACAGATGCAGGACCTCAAGTCTACCAGGTGGTACAACCATCAGTACGTTTAGGCAGGTACGTCTGTCGAGTACAAGCCATTGTGGTGGACAAAATACCAGTAGACCTACAAGTTCAAGGTCTGAGAGCAACAGCCAAATTCCTGAGAAATAGAGGAATAAAATTGGCAGATAATATTAAGTCTGATCACCTCACCGACTTCGGTCTCCTTGTAGGGACAGACTATTGTCATCGATTCATCGGTAGCCCTACTGAATATCAGGGTATAACCATGTTAAACTCTGCAGGAGGTAAATTACTCTCAGGCCCAGTATCAAGCCTGAGGAGACCTATGCCTGCAGATAAACAATACCAGTAGAAATCTAAATTTGTCAGCTGATTATATTTCTCCAGTAGCATTATACTAAGGAGATTACAGCTGACTATACCAACAGAGGTTGATGTTAGTATCATCATTTAAAGCTGAAGATGAGTTCATGAGGCCTCAGTGGCAAATCAGTGAACAGTAGCCTAAACAGCTACAAGTCACTGCGACCAATGTCACTGAACCCACTGCAGTCTCAGAACCATACTTTACTTTAATGATGAGCTATTCAATCTTCTGAATCAATTAACTAAATTAAACCCCAATAAATCTGATGACCGATTTGATACATTTATTATTTAATCAAGATGTATTCCATGGACCTCAGTGTTTATATATCAGTGACTAGTTACCTGAACAAACTTCAAGTTATATCTAATGTCACTGATCTCACTGCAGTCCCTGAATCATACTTGACTGTAGTACTTGATCACATTCAGTCTTCTGGGTTAAATAATATGTAATTAGGCTTGAATATTAGCCTTTCAAGAGTTGACAGGGAAATGAAATTGCATTAGACTTCTAACCTCTGCAACTCTAGTACGGGACATCCGTCCTGTACGAACAGACACACAAACGTGTGATTACTAACTACTAACATCAAATTAATCTAATAATTCGAAGGAGGAGTATCGGTGTTCGTCTGTTCTAAAGAGGACTTCAACCCGTGAGCAGCCCCTGGGGAATTATGTCGGAAAATCCGACACCACATAATAATATCATACATACAGATAATAGCTGTATTGTATAAACAAGTTACCCATAGAAAACGTAACTTGTAGTGGAATTACCGTCTAAAGAAAATGGGATATCATCACCACATACCATTATAAATTCACCAGCTATTCTGCTGGGAATTATTCTTAAATACATTAGTCTTTGGACTTTACCATCATAAACCATCTCATATAAATTAACTTAATTATCAATATTAAAGTAGAGTAAATGTGACCCTTCTATCACTTTCTGTCATGTGGACAATGTAAGCCAGGCATCAGGGGAGGAAGGAGGGCAGCCATTGTTGTTGATACTAGACCAGAGGCTCACACGGGAGCAAATTCGGCTCCTGTTAATTTTACTTGGACGAAGTGTTATGGAAACCAAAGGTGTACCATTATCACACGCTGTCAACAAATTCAAGTTAAGTGTTCTTTCCGAAACCCATGTATCTTTCATTTATGGCCATTAATGTCATTATATAGGGTGACCCGGTTAGAGCGCGACATAGCCTCAAACTAAAGGTAATTAAGCCAGGTCTTTATTGTTCCATGTATAGTGTTTTCTCTGATATAACTTGTCATATATAGGTTTCTGGTTTCTCAGCTAGCGCCCTTTTGACAGGTCAAGACGAGGAAGCAAGATTTTGTGCACCAGTTACTGGGTGATGGAAGCTACCTCAAAGAGGATAATTTGGTGTCTACACCCTAGTTATACCTGGTGGACTAACCTGCTGTACTATAAGATAAGGAACTTTTTCAATGTATGTAGTTAATACTGTAGTTTGATTGGCTGCATATATATAAATTTAATAAACCCCCCCTAATGTGTAGAGGATCGATTTGTGAGATTATGAGATTATTGCAGAAATACAGTCCACTTATCATTATACAAATTGCTATCGAAGTATATAAATTAACGTAAATATAAATTCTAAATATAAATTCATATAAATTAAATAAATATAAATCTCACAGGTCGGTTCCCACATTCGGGCAGATCAAATCGGACATTCTTACACCCTCCCATCACTCTCCTTCCTTCCTCTCATATATCTTTCACAGATCTCTCTGTCTCTCTCTTTGGGTTAATTCTTATCAGAAGAATATGAGGCAGAGCAAGACAGGTAGAGACTCAGACAGACAGACATACTGACATACAGACAGACAGATAAACAGAGATGGTGTGAGAGAACAAGTAAACATACAACTCAAACTAGTGAGTTTTTAGTTAGATGAGCAACGTTTGTATAAATATATAACTATTTAAAAACACACAATCACCGGAGCATCTGAGGACACGTCTATATCCAGTCGAAGATAGCACCCCACTGAATTGAAATTCTGAAGAGTGGCATAAAGTATTGCGAGAGACGGGTGGTTAATTGGCATCTGTCATAGAGATCAGACGCTTGGCTTAATGGTTCTCTCCTCCTCTCTCTTCACCTCCTTAAGTGGATAACAAGCGAATACCGCTGGACAGGAGGGTCGTTACATGACCTTCGTAATGTCACCCTGCATTTTATTTACTCAGAGTTTTGGTGACCATGAACTGTGTGTGGGGGCTCCGGTCAGTATTACGGCTGCTTGTGGTAAACTGTGAGTCCACATTTAAAAAACATTTAATTTAATTTAATTTATCGTCGCCTAACTCCTGCTTGATAATAATATTTCAGAACAATTGCTAATATGAGGCTAATTTCCTGAGACTCTTAATATATTGTATGGACTTTAAGAGCCTCGTTTTAACAGTTATAAACAAACTGGTTTTCTCTGGATAGCATCTCTCACAAGTGTAATCCACCATGATGACTCTCCCCAGACTGTGCACCAGACTGTGCCCCAGACTGTGCCACAGACTGTGCCCCAGACTGTGCCACAGACTGTGCCACAGACTGTGCCCCAGACTGTGCCACAGACTGTGCCCCAGACTGTGCCACAGACTGTGCCCCAGACTGTGTCTCAGACAGTGCCCCAGACTGTGCCCCAGACTGTGCCCCAGACTGTGCCTCAGACAGTGCCCCAGACTGTGCCTCAGACAGTGCCCCAGACTGTGCCCCAGACTGTGCCTCAGACAGTGCCCCAGACTGTGCCTCAGACTGTGCTCCAGACTGTGCCTCAGACTGTGCTCCAGACTGTGCATCAGACTGTGTCTCAGACTGTGCCACAGACTGTGCCCCAGACTGTGCCACAGACTGTGCCCCAGACTGTGCCCCAGACTGTGCCCCAGACTGTGCCCCAGACTGTGCCCCAGACTGTGCCACAGACTGTGCCCCAGACTGTGCCACAGACTGTGCCCCAGACTGTGTCCCAGACAGTGCCCCAGACTGTGCCCCAGACTGTGCCCCAGACTGTGCCTCAGACAGTGCCCCAGACTGTGCCTCAGACAGTGCCCCAGACTGTGCCCCAGACTGTGCCTCAGACAGTGCCCCAGACTGTGCCTCAGACAGTGCCTCAGACTGTGCACCAGACTGTGAATCAGACTGTGCCTCAGACAGTGCCCCAGACAGTGCCCCAGACAGTGCCCCAGACTGTGCCTCAGACAGTGCCCCAGACTGTGCCTCAGACTGTGCTCCAGACTGTGCCTCAGACTGTGCTCCAGACTGTGCACCAGACTGTGTCTCAGACTGTACCTCAGACAATGCCCCAGACAGTGCCTCAGACAGTGCCCCAGACTGTGCCCCAGACTGTGCCCCAGACTATGCCCCAGACTGTGCCTCAGACTGTGCCCCAGACTATGCCCCAGACTGTGCCTCAGACTGTGCCCCAGACTATGCCCCAGACTGTGCCTCAGACTGTGCCCCAGACTGTGCCTCAGACTGTGCCTCAGACAGTGCCCCAGACTGTGCCTCAGACTGTGCCCCAGACTGTGCTTCAGACTGTGCCTCAGACAGTGCCTCAGACTGTGCCCCAGACTATGCCCCAGACTGTGCCTCAGACTGTGCCCCAGACTATGCCCCAGACTGTGCCTCAGACTGTGCCCCAGACTGTGCCTCAGACTGTGCCTCAGACAGTGCCCCAGACTGTGCCTCAGACTGTGCCCCAGACTGTGCCTCAGACAGTGCCCCAGACTGTGCCGCAGACTGTGCCTCAGACTGTGCCCCAGACTATGCCCCAGACTGTGCCCCAGACTGTGCCCCAGACTGTGCCTCAGACTGTGCCCCAGACTTTGCCTCAGACTGTGCCTCAGACTGTGCCCCAGACTGTGCCTCAGACTGTGCCCCAGACTGTGCCTCAGACTGTGCCCCAGACTATGCCCCAGACTGTGCCCCAGACAGTGCCCCAGACTGTGCCCCAGACTGTGCCCCAGACTATGCCCCAGACTGTGCCCCAGACTGTGCCTCAGACTGTGCCCCAGACTATGCCCCAGACTGTGCCCCAGACTGTGCCCCAGACTGTGCCCCAGACTGTGCCCCAGACTGTGCCTCAGACTGTGCCCCAGACTGTGCCTCAGACTGTGCCCCAGACTGTGCCCCAGACTGTGCCCCAGACTGTGCCTCAGACTGTGCCTCAGACTGTGCCCCAGACTGTGCCTCAGACTGTGCCCCAGACTGTGCCTCAGACTGTGCCCCAGACTGTGCCTCAGACTGTGCCCCAGACTGTGCCCCAGACTGTGCCCCAGACAGTGCCCCAGACTGTGCCCCAGACTGTGCCCCAGACTGTGCCCCAGACAGTGCCCCAGACTGTGCCTCAGACTGTGCCCCAGACAGTGCCCCAGACAGTGCCCCAGACAGTGCCCCAAACTGTGCCTCAGACTGTGCCCCAGACTGTGCCTCAGACTGTGCCCCAGACTATGCCCCAGACTGTGCCCCAGACAGTGCCCCAGACTGTGCCCCAGACTGTGCCCCAGACTGTGCCCCAGACTGTGCACCAGACTGTGTCTCAGACTGTGCCTCAGACAGTGCCCCAGACTGTGCCCCAGACTGTGTCTCAGACTGTGCCCCAGACAGTGCCCCAGACTGTGCCCCAGACAGTGCCCCAGACAGTGCCCCAGACTGTGCCTCAGACTGTGCCCCAGTCTGTGCCTCAGACTGTGCCCCAGACTATGCCCCAGACTGTGTCTCAGACTGTGCCTCAGACAGTGCCCCAGACTGTGCCCCAGACTGTGCCCCAGACTGTGCACCAGACTGTGTCTCAGACTGTGCCCCAGACTGTGCCCCAGACTGTGCTCGAGACTGTGCCTCAAACTGTGCCCCAGACAGTGCCCCAGACTATGCCTCAGACTGTGCCCCAGACTGTGCCTCAGACTGTGCCCCAGACTGTGCCCCAGACTGTGCCACAGACTGTGCCTCAGACTGTGCTCCAGACTATGCCCCAGACAGTGCCACAGACTGTGCCTCAGACTGTGCCCCAGACTGTGCCCCAGACTGTGCTCGAGACTGTGCCTCAAACTGTGCCCCAGACAGTGCCCCAGACTGTGCCTCAGACTGTGCCCCAGACTGTGCCTCAGACTGTGCCCCAGACTGTGCCCCAGACAGTGCCACAGACTGTGCCTCAGACTGTGCCCCAGACTGTGCCCCTGACTGTGCTCCAGACTGTGCCCCAGACTGTGCCACAGACTGTGCCTCAGACTGTGCTCCAGACTATGCCCCAGACAGTGCCACAGACTGTGCCTCAGACTGTGCCCCAGACTGTGCCACAGACTGTGCCCCAGACTGTGCCACAGACTGTGCCCCAGACTGTGCCACAGACTGTGCCTCAGACTGTGCTCGAGACTGTGCCTCAGACAGTGCCCCAGACTGTGCTCGAGACTGTGCCCCAGACTGTGCCACAGACTGTGCCCCAGACTGTGCCTCAGACTGTGCTCGAGACTGTGCCTCAGACAGTGCCCCAGACTGTGCTCGAGACTGTGCCTCAGACAGTGCCCCAGACTGTGCTCGAGACTGTGCCCCAGACTGTGCCACAGACTGTGCTCCAGACTGTGCCCCAGACTGTGCCCCAGACTGTGCCCCAGACTGTGCTCGAGACTGTGCCCCAGACTGTGCCCCAGACTGTGCCACAGACTGTGCCTCAGACAGTGCCCCAGACTGTGCCACAGACTGTGCCTCAGACAGTGCCCCAGACTGTGCCACAGACTGTGCCCCAGACTGTGCCACAGACTGTGCCTCAGACAGTGCCCCAGACTGTGCCACAGACTGTGCCCCAGACTGTGCTCGAGACTGTGCCCCAGACTGTGCCCCAGACTGTGCCTCAAACTGTGCCCCAGACTGTGCCCCAGACTGTGCCTCAAACTGTGCCCCAGACTGTGCCCCAGACTGTGTCCCAGACAGTGTCCCAGACTGTGCCCCAGACTGTGCCTCAGACAGTGCCCCAGACTGTGCCTCAGACAGTGCCCCAGACTGTGCCCCAGACTGTGCCTCAGACAGTGCCCCAGACTGTGCCTCAGACAGTGCCCCAGACTGTGCACCAGACTGTGTCTCAGACTGTGCCTCAGACAGTGCCCCAGACAGTGCCCCAGACAGTGCCCCAGACTGTGCCTCAGACAGTGCCCCAGACTGTGCCTCAGACTGTGCTCCAGACTGTGCCTCAGACTGTGCTCCAGACTGTGCACCAGACTGTGTCTCAGACTGTGCCACAGACAGTGACCCAGACAGTGCCTCAGACAGTGCCCCAGACTGTGCCCCAGACTGTGCCCCAGACTATGCCCCAGACTGTGCCTCAGACTGTGCCCCAGACTATGCCCCAGACTGTGCCTCAGACTGTGCCCCAGACTATGCCCCAGACTGTGCCTCAGACAGTGCCCCAGACTGTGCCTCAGACTGTGCCCCAGACTGTGCTTCAGACTGTGCCTCAGACAGTGCCTCAGACTGTGCCCCAGACTGTGCCCCAGACTGTGCCTCAGACTGTGCCCCAGACTTTGCCCCAGACTGTGCCTCAGACTGTGCCCCAGACTGTGCCCCAGACTGTGCCTCAGACAGTGCCCCAGACTGTGCCTCAGACTGTGCCCCAGACTGTGCCTCAGACTGTGCCCCAGACTGTGCCCCAGACTGTGCCTCAGACTGTGCCCCAGACTATGCCCCAGACTGTGCCCCAGACTGTGCCCCAGACTGTGCCTCAGACTGTGCCCCAGACTGTGCCTCAGACTGTGCCTCAGACTGTGCCTCAGACTGTGCCCCAGACTGTGCCCCAGACAGTGCCCCAGACTGTGCCCCAGACTGTGCCCCAGACTGCGCCCCAGACAGTGCCCCAGACTGTGCCTCAGACTGTGCCCCAGACAGTGCCCCAGACAGTGCCCCAGACAGTGCCCCAAACTGTGCCTCAGACTGTGCCCCAGACTGTGCCGCAGACTGTGCCCCAGACTATGCCCCAGACTGTGCCCCAGACAGTGCCCCAGACTGTGCCCCAGACTGTGCCCCAGACTGTGCCCCAGACTGTGCACCAGACTGTGTCTCAGACTGTGCCTCAGACAGTGCCCCAGATTGTGCCCCAGACTGTGTCTCAGACTGTGCCCCAGACAGTGCCCCAGACTGTGCCCCAGACAGTGCCCCAGACAGTGCCCCAGACTGTGCCTCAGACTGTGCCCCAGTCTGTGCCTCAGACTGTGCCCCAGACTGTGCCCCAGACTGTGTCTCAGACTGTGCCTCAGACAGTGCCCCAGACTGTGCCCCAGACTGTGCCCCAGACTGTGCACCAGACTGTGTCTCAGACTGTGCCCCAGACTGTGCCCCAGACTGTGCTCGAGACTGTGCCTCAAACTGTGCCCCAGACAGTGCCCCAGACTATGCCTCAGACTGTGCCCCAGACTGTGCCTCAGACTGTGCCCCAGACTGTGCCCCAGACTGTGCCACAGACTCTGCCTCAGACTGTGCTCCAGACTATGCCCCAGACAGTGCCACAGACTGTGCCTCAGACTGTGCCCCAGACTGTGCCCCAGACTGTGCTCGAGACTGTGCCTCAAACTGTGCCCCAGACTGTGCCTCAGACTGTGCCCCAGACTGTGCCTCAGACTCTGCCCCAGACTGTGCCCCAGACAGTGCCACAGACTGTGCCTCAGACTGTGCCCCAGACTGTGCCCCAGACTGTGCTCCAGACTGTGCCCCAGACTGTGCCACAGACTGTGCCTCAGACTGTGCTCCAGACTATGCCCCAGACAGTGCCACAGACTGTGCCTCAGACTGTGCCCCAGACTGTGCCACAGACTGTGCCCCAGACTGTGCCACAGACTGTGCCCCAGACTGTGCCACAGACTGTGCCTCAGACTGTGCTCGAGACTGTGCCTCAGACAGTGCCCAAGACTGTGCCCCAGACTGTGCCACAGACTGTGCCCAGACTGTGCCTCAAACTGTGCCCCAGACTGTGCCCCAGACTGTGTCTCAGACTGTGCCCCAGACTGTGCCCCAGACTGTGCCTCAGACTGTGCCTCAGACAGTGCCCCAGACAGTGCCCCAGACTGTGCCTCAAACTGTGCCCCAGACTGTGCCTCAAACTGTGCCCCAGACTGTGTCTCAGACTGTGCCCCAGACTGTGCCCCAGACTGTGCCTCAGACAGTGCCCCAGACAGTGCCCCAGACTGTGCCTCAAACTGTGCCCCAGACTGTGCCTCAAACTGTGCCCCAGACTGTGTCTCAGACTGTGCCCCAGACTGTGCCCCAGACTGTGTCTCAGACTGTGCCTCAGACAGTGCCCCAGACTGTGCCTCAAACTGTGCCCCAGACTGTGCCCCAGACTGTGCCCCAGACTGTGTCTCAGACTGTGCCCCAGACAGTGCCCCAGACTGTGCTCCAGACTGTGCTCCAGACTGTGCCTCAGACTGTGCTCCAGACTGTAACTCAGACTGTGCACCAGAGTGTGCACCAGACTGTGCCCCAGACTGTGCACCAGACTGTGCACCAGACTGTGCACCAGACTGTGCCCCAGACTTTGCACCAGACTGTGCCTCGGACTGTGCTCCAGACTGTAACTCAGACTGTCCCCCAGACTGTGCCCCAGACTGTGCCCCAGACTATGCACCAGACTGTGCACCAGACTGTGCCCCAGACTGTGCACCAGACTGTGCACCAGACTGTGCCCCAGACTGTGCACCAGACTGTGCCCCAGACTGTGCCCCAGACTGTGCCCCAGACTGTGCCCCAGACTGTGCCCCAGACTGTGCACCAGACTGTGCCCCAGACTGTGCACCAGACTGTGCACCAGACTGTGCACCAGACTGTGCACCAGACTGTGCATCAGACTGTGCCCCAGACTGTGCACCAGACTGTGCTCCAAACTGTGCTCCAAACTGTGCACCAGACTGTGCACCAGACTGTGCCCCAGACTGTGCCCCAGACTGTGCTCCAAACTGTGCACCAGACTGTGCACCAGACTGTGCTACACAGTGGTTGGGTTAATGTTACCTGTGGCAGGTGGCGACCGTTACCTGAGGCAGATGGCTACCGTTACCTGTGGCAGGTGGCTACCGTTACCTGTGGCAGATGGCTACCGTTACCTGTGGCAGGTGGCTACCGTTACCTGTGGCAGATGGCTACCGTTACCTGTGGCAGTTGGCTACCGTTACCTGTGGCAGATGGCTACCGTTACCTGTGGCAGGTGGCTACCGTTACCTGTGGCAGATGGCTACTGTTACCTGTGGCAGGTGGCTACCGTTAACTGTGGCAGGTGGCTACTGTTACCTGAGGCAGATGGCTACCGTTACCTGTGGCAGATGGCTACCGTTACCTGTGTCAGATGGCTACCGTTACCTGTGGCAGATGGCTACCGTTACCTGTGGCAGATGGCTACCGTTACCTGTGGCAGGTGGCTACCGTTACCAGTGGCAGGTGGCTGGCGTTACCTGTGGCAGGTGGCTACCGTTATCTGTGGCAGGTGGCTTCCGTTACCTGTGGCAGGTGGGTACCGTTACCCGTGGCAGATGGTTACCGTTACCTGTGGCAGGTGGGTACCGTTACCCGTGGCAGGTGGCTTCCGTTACCTGTGGCAGGTGGCTACCGTTACCTGTGGCAGGTGGGTACCGTTACCTGTGGCAGGTGGCTACAGGTGACGGATCTCACAATCCTGATCACTCCTGGAGAATAGTAGGGATGACACACTCAACAGGATTTTTTTGTTTTTTGAAAAATCCCATTTAGGGCTTCAGTTTTCCAATTCAATTTTTAAGATCCCATTTAGGGTGTCGGGTTTCCAGTTAAATTTCCCAGTCCCTTTTAGGGCTTTGGGTTTCCTGATAAATTTTCCATTCGTCTCTAGGTCTTCGGGTTTCATCATAAGTTTCCCAGTTTTTGATTTGGAGTAAAAGAATTCTTATGAGGAAAATAATTTCAGAGTTCATAGAAGACATAGAAGTTTCATTTAGAAAAGACAGGGCGAAGTCCGCTCCTTTCTTACTGAGAATAAACTCTACGGTAAATTTTTGTTTGTTTTTAAAAGAACTCATTTGGAGTTAAAGAGTTCTTATGGGAAAATTCGAGGCAAAAGGGGTCCATACGGTTTTAAAGAGTTCTTTAGGGAAAAATTTAAAAGTTTTCAGATTTTAGTTTTTTTTAATATTTCAGAGTTCATATAATCATAAGGTTTATTTTATGAGTTTCTGACTGAAATTTGGAAAGAACATTTTCAGAGAATAAGTTTATAGAAGTTTTGTTAAGGAAAATAGACATCTTAGCAGTAAGTTTTAGTTTTTATGCCCATTTAAAGCTATTTCACCAGTAAAAGACTGAAAATTATTCAGAGACCATTTGAAGACCGAAATTTACTGAAATTTAACAGAGACCATTTTCAAACCGAATTTCAACAGGGTTCATTTGATGACCGAAATTAAGCAAAATTTGTAAAAAGGCTATTTTCAGACCCATTTTGAACAGAATCCATTTGAAGACCAAAATTTGATAAAGCCCACTTTCAGAACAAAAAATAGTCAGAGACTAGGTTGAGCTCAAAATTTATACATTTATAGAGCGAAATTCGTCTGAGTCCAGTAAAAGACCAATTTTCATCCAGTTTTGAGAACAAAAATTAGTCAATGATTGCATTTTCACTACTATTAGCCCAATTTTACTACGTCATATTTCAGACGTAGTACAATAAATCCAAACAATTACCGAACTCTAGCTCGTGTCCCCGCCTTAGTCCCCTGTCGTAGATTCATTACTAACAGTCCAAACCCCAAAAACATAAAACCACTGCATTTCGGACGATGTAATATACAATAGTTTAGTTACCAAGCTCCAGCTCCTGTTCCCAGCCATACTTTACTGTTACAACTCTGTCAATACCCGTTCAATTTTCCCGAAATTTAAAACAGACATACTTCTATCTGAGCAAGCAAAGAAATTAGTGATACAGAACTCAAGCTCTTATCCTCTGCCTTAGTTCACTCCCATATCTATGTTATTACCAAATCAATTTCCCTGAAATTTACCACCACTGTATTCCAGAGATAGTAAAAGAGATTCAAACAATTACCGAACTCCAACTCTCGTCCCCTGTCTTAACTTATTTGTACAAGTTCTTTATTATCAGACTAAATCCCCTGAGATTTAAGATCACTATATTTCTAACGTAGTAAAATAAATCAATACATTAACCGAGCTTCAACTCCCGTCCTCCGCCATAGATCATCAAACATAAATATTTCTGATCAAGATGCTCTCCAGTCTATCACAGTAAACATATCCTCTCCTTTAATACCTTTTTTTCACTCAGCTATGTAAATAATCACTAACGAGCTAATATTCGCACAGTAATAAACATCACACGGTCAGATCACACCTTACCTTCAATACCCTTTATCTCCTTTACCTTCCGCAACTCCCTTTTTTTCCCTTATATCCTGACACCCCTTAGCTTCCCCCCCCCAACCCTTATAGTCCTCCTATACCCCATACTCCCACGCATCTTACCCATTCCCCAACTTTACCCAAACTTCCCTCCCTCCCTCCCCAGAATTTAAAGAAATTCAGCTTGTATACTCATTATTCATGTTCACTCCATATGTCTGTGTTCTCTGTCATATTTTCATGTTCATCTCATGTTCTCTGTACAACTTTTTATACTCATAATTCATGTTCACCAAAAGTTCTTATTCCCCGCATGTTCACTGTGTTCATCTCATTCTCTTACATCTTTGATGAATTCCTTGTCATTTTCCCCGTATGTTCAGTGTGTTCAATGCATTCTCTTACATGTTTTCTGTGTTCTCTGTCATATTCTCCATGTTTTCAGAATGTTCTTCACAACACTGTTCGAAACAAATCTTCACTTTATCCAGTACCAAATTTATCAAGGCACTCTTTTTCTTGTTGTTTAACTAAAATATTCGTCAACGAACTAAAAAATAGTCGGGATTAATCTCGTTCAACACTGTTCTTAATTAAAATAACATTTCTCTTAGCTAAAAATTGTCAAAGGAAACTTTCTAGTACTTTTCATAACTAACTTTATCCATCGTCAATCAACTTAAAATAGTCACGTTCATAATTTGTTTTAACTATAAGTATTCTTCAATCAACTAAAAAATAGTCATGTTCTTCATTTTTTTTAAACTAAAATAATATTTTACTAAACTGAAAATAACGATGTTAATCATCTTTTCTTGTATTGCTTAACTAAAAATTATTCTTCCCCTCAACTAAACATAGTCAAATGTAGCTTCATTCAATACTTTTTTAACTAACAGTATACTTTGTAGAGTACAAGAATAGTCAAATGGAATCTTTCAACACGGTTCTTAACTAAAATTTTGTGTCGTTACGTAAGAAAATTAGTGAAAGACACTCTCTGAGACATCAAAGACGCTTTTCGAGACATCAAAGACATTCTTCGAGACATCAAAGACACTCTTTGAAACACCAAAAATACTTTTCAAGACATCAAAGAAACGCCTAAAGACATAAAGGATCCACTAAGAGAAATAAAAAAAAACTCTTCAAGACATCAATAAAACATTCAAAGACATCTAAGAACAACCAAAGACATAAAGGACTCACTCAGAGACACCAAAATATACTCTTCGAGACACAAACAAATACTCTTCGAGACTTCAAAGACTCTCAGAGACATAAAAAAATACTCTTTGAGACATATAAGTCACTCAAAAACATCAGAGATGCACTTAAAGACATCAAAGACACACTCAAAGACGTCAAAAATACTACTCATGCCCTCAAGTTATTCTCAAGAGTCATCAAAATTTATTCTCAGAGTCATCAAAGGTATTCTCCAACTCACCTTCGTTCATCAGAGAAGCTTTCTAAGACATCTTCTTTTATCAAAGTTATTCACTTAGAACTCAAAAATTATTCTCAGAGATATTAAAAGTTAATATCAATCATCAAATTTGTTCTCTAAGTCACTTTCGTGCATAAAAGCTGTTCTCTAACTCACCTTCGTTCATCAAAGAAACTCTCCTTCGTTAATCAAAGTTATTCTCTAAGACATCAATGTTGTTCTCTAAGACATCAATTTTGTTCTTTAAGACATCAATGTTGTTCTCTAAGACATCATCAGGCATAAAATATATCTCCAAAATGTAACTAGTTCTGCTTTTCATAATAAACTTGCACTTCTTTTAAAATATATCTAACCTAACCACTCCCCCCCTACTTGATGTAACTTACCCTAATCAAACTTACCTAACCTAACCTAACCTATCCTACCTAACCTAACCTAACTAACCAAACCTAACTAACCTAACCTAACTTAACCAAATCTATCCTAATTTAACATAACTTACATAACTTATCATAACTTAATGTAACTTACCTAACCTATCCTAACTTAACATAACTTACCTATCCTAACCTAACTTAATTTTTCTAACCTAACCTAACTTAATGTAACTTACCTAACTTAACTTGCATAACCTAATCAGTCCTAACCTAACTAACCTAACCTAACCTATCAAACCTAACCTAACCTAACTTAACATAACTTAACAAACGTATCCTAACATAACTAACCTAACATATCTTACCAATCCTAACCTACCAGATCCTAACATAATGTAACTTATCTAACCTAACCTAGCTTAGCTTTCCTAACCTAACCTAACTGAACATAACTTACCTAACCTAACTTAACTTACCTAGCATATCCTAACTTAACTAGCCTAACCTAACCTAATCTAGCTTACTTTACCTAACCTAACCTAGCTTACATTACCTAACCTAACCTAACTTCATATAACTTACCTAACCTAACCTAACTTAATGTAACTTACCTAACCTAACTTAACTTGCATAACCTAACCTAACTTAACTTGCATAACCTAACCTAACTTAACTTGCATAACCTAACCTAACTTAACTAACCTAACTTACCTAACCTAACCTAACATAACTTACCTAACCTAACCTAACCTAAGTAAACCTAACCTAACTTAACCTAACCTAGC